AGTGGCATCATTAAAATAGGCTGATACAGTAACAACTGCATGGGTAAACCTTCTTTCCCAAATAAACCTCAGCAATCTCTTTCATTTTAGTGAGAATCATAGCAGAGATTTCTTCTAGAGCAAATGTCTTAGTTTGCCCACCTCCAATATCAACCTGAATGTATGGTTTGTGTTTATGTTTCTCTTCAAACACTTTGAAAGGCAAGAACTTGATGTCTTGCTGCACAGAAGGGTCATTCCCAGTGCTGCCAATGAGCCACTGGGCATCGAAGTCCGTGTTCTCAGGATTGGAGGTGAGCTGATTCTTGATTGTATCGCGGATCAGACGTTCTTCTTCAGGGGTGAAGGCCACATAATACGGCCTGATGCACTTGCCCTGATTGTTGGAGATGATCTCCAGTGGCCATTCTTGAACACCCCGACGCAGGAGTAAGTGGTCCCCAGGTTGATGCTGAACACGGTACCTATGTCCTTTTCTTGTCATCCTCCTCAGCCGTGCTGCGCAGAGCAGCAGCAGAACCGTGGCCACCAGAGAGAGCTTCATCTTGCCCTAGCTGTTGGCCAGTTGCTCTCATCAGCAGACAGCCAGAAGTTGCAGGCAATCCAGCAACAGCCTGCAGCTGAGAGGAGTGAGGTTACAGGTCTCTTACACTTGAGATGCCTCAACTCTGTCCTTCTGTGTTGTCTCTGCCAATTCTCAGACTTTTTAGTATTGAAGTGCATTTTCTTTCTACAATTGTATTAATTACCATATGTAAAAATTGACAAGTAGAATGCTAGTAAACACAGATTCGCAAGCTTTTAGGCCACTATGTAAATATTAAAAAAGTTAAATGAATTGCCAATGCTTCCATACATGCTATAACAACACAAGTGTTCAAAGATGCACTAGAACATTATGTGGGAAAAATATATTCATATCCAATCAAGATTTTTCAGGCACTTGCATTCAGAAGCATTTTATGAATCAGCACCAGGTTTGCTCCAAAATAAAGCTCATTTTCCCCTACTGCCCCTATTTGTTGAGAACAATATTATACATTAAAGATGCATTTACATGAATCATTTTATAGAGAAAATTATTTTAAATTTAAAATTATAATACTTATTTTATGCATAACTTCAAAAACACAGAATTTAAAGACAATACCAGTGAGCACTATCATCCTATATGACTAAAACACTACCATTCTATATGACTAGCAAAGACAATACAAGGCCAAAAGGCAAAATATACACTTTGGCAATCCTATACAAAAGGGGTTCTGTTACAATATTCTTTCATAAAATAAACACAATGCATAAAAATGAAACAAGAAAAAGAAAAACTGAATTTTGACAACTACACAAACTGTGGCATTTCAAATTCAAGGTCTTGTAACTCTTCCATTTGTTTTAGCCTGAGTCCCTGACACATTGGATTCATGTCAGGTAGGCCGAGCTCCTCAGAGTTCTCTTTAGGCTCAGCAGCTGGCTTCAAAGCATAAGCTGATGTGCTGTCTGCCTCTGGAACAGATTTCTCCACATGACTCAGGGGATTAAGAGCCGTGCTATGAGGCACTGCTTCTGAAGGTGAAGCTGGTCTCTCCTCAGTCCCCCTCACTTTGCTGGTCGGGGTAGGTGGTTTGTAAAATGTTGTCCCGAGATGGGGCTGCAGTATTCTGGGTGCTCTTGCAGGAGCAAGACGGTGAGAATGAGAGGACAGTCTCACTGGTGTCTCTCTTGCTGAACTGGCTGGCGTGTTGGGCTGTGTGGCACCGTTGGAATGGTCACCACTAACCTTGATGCTCATTGTCACTTTTTCCTGGAGTACACTTGGCACAATCACTGCACTCATGCCAGTTAAGTTCTTTGGTTCACATTGTTGTCCCTGAGTTGTTTCACATTGTTGTCCCTGAGTTTTTTGTGGAATCTGCTGATCAAAACCATTAATTTGGGAGCCAAAACTAGTAGGGGTATCTTTTCTATTAAGCCCTTCAAAGGTAAGATTCTGGCAAAACTTGTCTGAATTGACATTTCCCACATTTCTGCTGTTTTTCTCATTAGAAGAGCTTGCAAGATGGAACCTATCTACAGGCAAACAGAAACATCTGATCTTGGGGCTTGGCATAGGCCTCTGTATATCATTTGTTGTCACATCAGATTTCAGACTAAGTGGTTTCGTGGTTTTACACATAGTGTCCATCTTTTGTGATGATGATTCAAGTTCTTTGTGATCTGAAAAAGAAGAGATTTTTTTTTTTAACTTCATGAAGCTTGGTTAATAAGGAAGTGTGGTTATTTATGAATGGGCATTCTCTCAAACAACAGAGTCTTACATATTTTTTCCAACATTATTTTCTCAGTCATCTATGCAGAGGAATTAAAAATCCATACAATATTAAAGGCACATTTTTAATTAAAGCATTACTTTGTAAAATTTATCTTAATAAAACAAATAGTCACAAAGCAAATAAAATAAAAAAAAAACCACTTCCTGTAGTAACTTGTTTTAATATACTACCAATGAATGAATATTTTCTGTGTTAAGACTTCCCTGATTTCAACAGGCAGACAATGGTAACTCTAGAACAGTAACACTATTCTGTACACCAACAAATGCCATGTCCTGAATCCCAAGGACTTTGCCTGTCACTTAATCTGCTTTCCAGCTACATTCTGTCCATACTGTGGGCAACACACCAGAGAGGACTTGGATGCTCTCCCAGCTGATCCACTAATACATGGTAACATCCTCTGGACAAAGGAAGGTTGAAGAGCTGTCAAAATTGCCATTGTGCTACTGGTCCTGGAGACTCCAGATTTACCTCCTTCTCTTTCTCCTCTCGTCTGGTCCCAAGGTCCCTATTTTCTCACCTAGAACCCTAGCATCTCCCACTCTGTCTTTGCTGCATGTACCCCAGAAGCTCCTGTTGCTAGAAAGGTGCAGCCATCTGGCCATGATCCTCGTCTCCCTACTGAGAAACATCAGACAACTGTGTGCCTTGCCACTGGTCTGATGGCTTTCCAACAGCCCTGTTCATAGCCCTCAGTTCTCATCCCTGCCACCTGGTCCTTCTCCGGTATCCTTAGGCAGTGGTTTGCAGACAGGTGTACAGCAGCATCACTTGATGATGATTGCAGGTCATCATCTCATCTGACCTCCTTCTTCACCTGAGGCTGCTGGCCTCTCTTCCCTGGTTCCCAGGCAGTGCTCATGTGATTTGCTGTCCTGGACCCTTCTCCACATTGATAAAAGGGAGCTGAGCCATTGTGGTTGGATGGCAACCACCAGAACATATTAACAGTCCTGCAGAACTTCTAGCACCACTTCTAGCTGCCTGGGTGCTGTCTCAGCTCCAGCTCCATTTCTGCCCTGGGCAAGCCTAGTGCACTAGCCCTACTTGCCTTCTTCTGTCAAGACAGACTCCTATGTGGAGATATGTTGGCATGTGGTGTTAATGATCTTCTAAAGAAAAGGCTCAGAATTACCTGGTATGTAATGGAAATTTCAAATATTTTAAAATTATTTATTGTTATTACTATACCTACCTGGGAATCCAATTTCATTGGACAGCGAAACAAGGTTACATTTATGAATGAGAGAGGATGAGGTTCAAACCCTGAATCAATGATAATTTAGGGACATGACCTTTGGCATTATTTACCTTCCTCAGACTGTTAGCTATGGCTTAAAGGAGGCCAAGGTTCATAGCACAGAAGTGCTAATAAGATCAAATCATATAAATGGAATCAGTGAGTCCAGTGCTTTTCTTTGCAGAGAGGTAATGGACTGTCTTTGTTTTCAGACTTTCTCAGGCTACACTAATTGATATTTCATTAATTTTATATATCAAATTTAACATTTATGGCTATATATTGAAAAATTCGGATTTAGCTCTACTAAAGCAGTAATGAATGAAAGGTTTTCAACCCCCTTACCAGAAACCATTCACTGAAATAAAGCGATGAAAAAACAGTGAACAAAAAGACTGGACCCAAGAAAATGGAAGACATGTGTGCTTAATGTGCTAAAATTTAGGCCACAGGTAAAGGGACATCAAAAAACTTTAGGAGTCTATTTTTTTGAGTTTCAGGAGTCCAGCTTTTTTCTGTTTTGACTTTAATTGATGACAAAAAGTAAAGGTGAAAACAAATCTCAGAAAGAGAACAAAATTAATTTATGAACTTCAAGATATCTTTTTACAAGAAAGAAACAAAGCATGATATTCATTTAAATGACATTCATTAAACTTTCTCAGTGGCTAGAAAAGTTAACTAATAAAACCTTGAAGTTTGAACTTACCTCAACTTAATACACCTTGTTTTTTTTTAAAGGATGAGTATTGTAGATGGACACAATATTTTATCTTTATTTATTTGTTTTATATGGTACTGAGGATCCAACTCATGGCCTCACACATGCCAAGGCAAGCGTTTTACCACTGAGCTACAAGCCCAGCCCTCACCTTGGTTTTAAATCACGACTTCTTGGCAAGGTTTGAAATATGCAAAGATATATGTTACATGACCACTCACCAATGAGACATGCATCCCATTTTTCCAATGCATTTTGCTTGCATTCTGATTCCTCAAATGATGTAGCCAATTCATAATTTTTAATTTCAATATCTGCAGTGTGGATATCCTATTGATACAAGAAAAGTTTTAAACTAAAAGCAAAACACATCTCAAAAACAAACAGTTCAAAGACTATTAACTTGTTAACATAAACATCACATATTTAATCCAATTATGTAATGGTCAAAACTCACTTGCTTTGTAGAAAAATATTGTGACTTTGTGGAATGTTCTGTTGATATTACGGGTTTGGAAGGAGGGCTTTTATCCACCCAAGGTGCAACAACATCAGTACTAGATGGAACATTTTGTGACTCTAGGGACCCATCGAAGATCATCTGTGCATTGGTAATGAGGAACTCTACCAACAGGGCCTGATTGGCATATGCAACAAGAGAGGAGGAGATGGTACCAGGAGTGGTTGTAGGCCTGGGCCTCATCAGACAGGGTCCAAATACCACCCCCAAGTTTTTTGAGTTCATTAGGTTTTCTTCAGAATGGTCTACAACCCTGAGAAGAAGAACACATAAAGTGTATGAGATTTGCCTAATAGATGTCCTTAATGGTAGTTTACTATGACTTGAGAAGGGTGGAGAAAACTCAGGCTATAGAAGACTACAAAACGTTTGTCAAGGGTCAAGTTTGGTGGGTCTAGGGAAAGAATCCTTTGTTTCATTATGATATTTACCCCACACCAAACTGAGTTTCAGAGTACTATTTTAGGATAAAATGCATGTAAGTAGAAGGAACTACTGAACTCAGTAGCAGAAGGAAGAAAAACACCTCTAAAAATTGCTCCATCTTTGTATGTGGGATATATTCCCCATTTCTTATACCAGAAATGAAACATCACTGTCAATTTTTCTCTCACTGCCCAGTTAGTTTTCTTTTTTTAAAAATAATTTTTACGTAGAGATGGACACAATACCTTTATTTTATTTATTTATTTTTATGCAGTGCTGAGTATCAAACCCAGTGTCTCCCATGTGCTAGGCAAGTGTTCTGTCACTAGCCACACTCCCAGCTGCCCACAGCTAGTTTTCTAGCCTAAATGATTCTCTCTCCTGAACATCTCTCTGTTCTATTGCCACTATCAATGTTCTGGTTTTACTTCAAACACTGTCAGCTTGTTATTTCTATGACTATATAAGGAAATCTGTCTCTGCCTGGTTTAGCTATCAGGATGATACTAGATTCATCTATGGGTAAAAAATACCTTTGGGCTGAGGTTGTGGCTCAGAGGTAGAGTGTTTGCCTAGCACATGCGGGGACCTGGGTTTGATCCTCAGCATCACATAAAAATTAATAAATAAAATAAAGGTATTGCATCCCGCTACAACCAAAAAATAAATATTTTGAAAAAATCTTCTGCCTGTGTTCTTTGTTAAAGTCAACTATAAGTGAGAGTTACTCAATTAATTTAGCATGTCCCTTTAGATTAACAAAATCTAAAGTCAATCTGTGTTTATTGATATCTTTTTCAGTACTGGAGATTGAACCTAGGACCTCAAGCATGCTATGCAAGCACTCTAGTACTGAGCTTCATCCCTGCCCATAAAATAAAATATATATGTTTGGTAGAGAAGTGACTTAGAAAGCAAATCAAAATCTTGACTATAAATTATATTTATGTTAATAACAAATTAATAGATAATGAGTGAAATTCTAAACTTTAAATGAAGTTTAAGCTTTAAGCTTCATTATGGGATTTTAAAACTCTTCATCTCTATCCTAAACACATTATATTCACATCTGCCCCCCAAATAGCATAATCTTCAGCTGTTTTATTGGAACAAACATAGAATAGTGAACAAAATCTATAAAATGAATCAGAAACCCATGGGTTTTATGAGTAAGGGGTAAAAATATCAAAGTGCTAAAGAGCACAGATTTTACTTGGGCAAGAATGAAGATTAGCACAAGATAATATGACCTACAAAAACATACTGTCAACATCTCATGAAACTTTAAAAGAGGCTGATTTGCCATGAATAGATCAAAAAAAAAAAAAAAAAAAAAAGAAGTTCTTACAACAAATATCCACTGCCATAATGAATTTCAATGTTTCTACTGATCTACAATAGAAAATTCAGTGAACTGTTAGCTACCTGATGTCCTATAATATCTGTGGGAAGTTAAGGTGTTGCCCTGTGATCAGTTTCTATCTTCACCACTCTGGGATCTGAAGCAAGTCACTTCACCTCTTGGAGCTTTAGGTCAATGAGTCAGATAAAGGCTACTCTCTAACACTATTGCAAGAATTGAGCACAGTTTCCCAAATGAAAGTCTTAGACATACAAAATTCCTCAACAGAATGCAAATTTATTGTATTGGACCCAATTCATCTCCTCTCCCTAACTGACTAAACAAGATTAAGGATGACACATTATGAGACTTCCAGTCATTCAAAGGTATCAACCTCCATTTCTCAGTTGAGGGGTCTGTAGAATGTGATTAAAGGGTTATCAATGCTTTCCTGGGCTAACTTTGTAGATCAAGCAATGTATACTTAATTTCTTTCCCTCCTGCAATTCCACTAAAATACGGTAGGCTCATAAGGACTAGGAAAATAGAGAAAACAAAAAGCAACAATTCACAAGTAGAAGAGCAGATGAATAAGTCCTGATGCAGCATTTCCAAGAGAACTGACCCTTTGTCACTCAACATGTTTTTCAGAATCCTAAAGGGACATGGACAATCATTACCAGGTCCTCTGATCTTGGGTTAGGTTGCAGGTGGGCCAGCTGAGAAAGCTTAGATCTCTATAGAATCCTGTCTCCACTCCATGTACTAGGGCAATCTCCTTCCTAAAGCTCTGGAAATTTTTTCTCTGGGCAATGGGTTACAGAGGCTCTCTGAATCGAGGCATTGCCAAACATAAGGAACAGAGAGGTAACTGTCTTCCAATGGGGATATGTTGGCTATATACACACTGAAAGCACAGATCCTACAATCTTAGTAACCCTGGCTCCCACAGTATTGGTACTGTGTCTCTAGGCAAGGAAAAAAAAAACCTTTCCTAGGGGACTGGGGTTGTGGCTCATGGTAGTGCACTCATCTGGCATGTGTGAGGCACTAGGTTTGATCCTCAGCACCACATAAAAATAAATAAATAAATTAAAAGTATTGTGTCCATCTACAATTAAAAAAAAAATGCCTTCCCAAGAAGATCACACCAGTGCCAGAACAGGGAACTAGAGACATGTAGTTAGGCATATACCAAACAGTCCACCTAGACTACTTTATAGTAAAGTTCAAAGTTTTTAAAAAGTCTTGATGTGTGTTCAAGTGCTTCCAAAGTGATTTCAAGTCCAAACTCATGTAACTAGATACCATGAAAGACAAAAATCAAAATGGGTAGAAAAAGAACAAATTGAAGGTGTAAAATGATGCTATCAATATGCTGTCAACTAGTCAGATATGGTGAAAGAGCACTGGAAATGCAGCTGATCTAAATTGAGATGTGCACTAAATGAAAAATAGATACCAGATTTCAAAGAAGAAGAGCTGCAATACAAATAAATAAATAAACAAAATACCTCATAATTTGGAAAACTAGATATTCAAAATGTTCAATGATATATTAAAATTCACTTCACTTTATTTTTAATTTTTATGTTGCTATAGAAAATTTAATGTTATATATGAGGGTCACATTGTATTTCTACAGAGGTTAGAGGCCAAATAGAGAAAAGAACCCTTAATGAGAAAAATCTATGAATATCCACAATAAAAGAGCATCATATAATCATTTAAAAATGTTATCAAAAGAATAGAAAATCAGACTTCTTGAACATTAAAACATGATCTCACAAATGGAGTAATTTACTTATTCAAGAAGAAAAAGACAAGGAACTGTCTTAGAAAGTTTTTGAAGAAAAAAAGAACAATAAAGAAAAGGTAAGGGAACTGGAGAACAAGTATGCTTGCCAAGCAAGTGCAAGACCCTGAATTTTTAATCCCCACGAGTACAAATAACAAATTTATAAATATTTATATGTGTGTTTGTGTATGTGCACACACACACATCTCCAAACAAGAGCTTCAAGTGCAAATTACAAAGACAGATGGTGGGTGGGAGAATGGCAATAAAAATCAAAAAAAGTTCCAAGAACTAAAGCGCTCACAACTGACGGAGCTCATGGAGTGGCCAGAATACTGGATGGAAATATATCCACATCAAAGTACATCATTATAAAATCTTAGAATAATGAGGGGGGTGATGACATAGTCTATACCAATGAAAAATATGAAATATAAAATATTTTTGCTCTTTGCATTTGATGGTAGGTTTAGAATAAAACTTTAACCTGTTGAAGGTAAAATTTTAACACTTCACAGATGTCATGTGAAGAAAATTCGGACAGATCTACTAAATGCCTTCCGTTTTCCAGAGCTTGACACAGTATTGCGATTTTTGCCTTGTTGCCACTGACTCGATAAATTCCCTTGAAGAGAAAAGAAAAACAGAATGCAATATTTTACTTTAGTACAAAGGGCTAAATGCAGACATGTAGACAGAGTTGATGTATCTACTTCAATTTTTATTAGTAGTTAAAAAATACAAGTTGAAGTTAAATAAATTAACCTTTTCCAAATAAATGTGAATAAATTTAGTTATTACAAATGGAGAGTGCTGAAGACACTAAAAGAAATGTTTTTTGAAAGATGATTGACACACCTTAAAATTATTCACAACTAAGCAAAGTACAGGCAGACTAATAATGACAAAAATAAGTTAAAAAGTACTACTTGTGGTTTGTGAATTACATTTAACAGCAAAACAAAGTAGAAAACTATAGAAATAAACTGTGGGACTTTATTAAAAATGTATTGGCAAGCCAGGTGTGATGGCATATGCCCATGATTCCAGCTACTTGAGAGTTGAAACAGGAATTTCACAAGTTGAAGGCCAGACAAATCTAGCAAGAACCCATTTCAAAACACAATTTTAAGAAAGGGTGGATGGGCTGGGGATGTGGCTCAAGCTGTAATGTGCTCGCCTGGTGTGCGCAGGGCGCTGGGTTCGATCCTCAGCACTACATAAAAATAAAATTTAAAAAAAGATATTGTGTCCACCAAAAACTGAAAAATAAATATTAAAAAATTCTCTCTCTCTCTCTCTCTCTCTCTCTCTCTCTCTCTCTTTCTCTTCTTTCTGTTTCTCTAAAAATATGGCATGTGCAAGACCCTGAATTTAGTTCCCAGGCGTACAGACAACAAATTTATATATATTTATATGTGTGTTTGTGTGTGGACACACACATCTATAAATAAGTAAAATCATAACAAAAAAGTATATAGCAAAAGAAAAAAATTGTGATTCCAAAAAGATCTTACCTCTTCGCATTTAAAACCTAGAAATATGACAATGCGTTCACAGTATCTACATCTTGCAGGAAATCTCCATTTTCTGAACTTATGGGTGGTAGCTGCTTTTGCCATTAATGATTGCTGAAATGTTCCAAGGGAGCTGGGTCCTAACAACAGAAATGTTAGTATGTAAGAAG